AGTATTTATCTACAACACAACTAGAGAGAATTCCAATAAACCAAACGGCAGGTAATGCAAGTTTAGAACTGTTTACAGCTGCATTTGTTAAGAAAATGCACTGCCAACAGAGATGCGATTCTTGCATGTTCTGGAAGCTCTTCACTTATAGGAATGTGGGATGGTGAATGGCTTTTTTTTTTTTTTTTAAAATAGCTCAATAAAGAAAATAATTAAGTTCATTGCAGAGCCATACTTTAAGTTCCACATAATTCAGAACTTGCAAAGAACAAAATAAATGAAACTAGTCTAGTTTTCAGTTAAGTGATTTTTAAGAAATTTTTTTCTTCTAGAAAATAAATAAAATTGAAGTTAGTAGCTTTATGTTGCATGCACACTTTTATAGGACAGTCATTTAACACACTTACTTGATACAATAAATGAGCACAATATTCTAGAGCTGCATCCTACCAGAATCCAGTAATAGTAACTTCATACTAATCCAAGCATACCTTCAAACTGACCGGGTATTTTCAGATGGAGCTCCCATTCCTACTTTGTTTTTTATTTGCTTGTTTGCCTCTAATTTTTTTAAATCAAATACAAGCCCAATTCTTAGTAATGCAAAAGTACTGCATTAAAGTCTCCATATAATAAAACAGCTATAAGTATCCTTTATGGCAGTTTTAAAACACAGAAATATGAATCCTAGTGAACATTTTTGTCTCGTCCACGCTCTACTGAAAGTCTCAGGACCAATTCATGTCAGGTAAACTGAGTGTCTCTCTACAAGGCAGGCTGTTACCTTTTGGATACTGTTAGCTAAATGCTGTAGCTGTTTATTGAATTGCAAAGGAGCTATTGCACAGCCTAAGAGCTTACTGCTCATCCAAAGTAGGTGTGCATACAGATAATTAAAAGCTACATCCAGAATAAGCTATTTCATATTTTTCCAGCAGAAACTGAGAATTTCATCCATTAATTTACCACAGAATCAACAGCCTGAAAGACTCAGTACCTAGGTTTCTTGCTTATTTCTACATTTACTGATTAATTTTTAAGGAAATTTGGAAGAAGCAGGTTTTAAACGAGTTAACAATATAGTCACACTAAAGTTTAATCCTCATTCAATGCCAGCTTTAGTTCATTAGTTAGGCGACTGTTTTGCTCAAGTTGCTGGTAGAGTTGGTCTGTACAGGCAGCAAGCAGGTTAGAAGGGAAAAAAGAGGCAGAATGAAGACAGATTAGACAGAGAAAACAGTTAAGTAAGAGTTAATAAAGAAACTGGTCACACCACAGACAGTTCAGTAACACACAGAGAAACATTTTACCTTTTTTTTCTAGAACTCTAGGAATGAAATAGCTACTCCAAGGAACAGCTATTATAACCTAGGAAGAACTGGCTAAGACTCCTGTTGTGGGGAACAGCTGTGAGACAGGTTAAGAGGCAAAAGAAATGGAAGAACTGCAGCTATATTCTTAGAAGAACCAAGTCCTGCTTCAATCTTTAGGTACCATGTGTGGAAGATTTGTTTTATGAACGCCATTCTTCCCTGAACTATTTAAGATGTGGTGGAACTTCATCTGTCAGTGGAGGGAAGGCAATTGTGTCACAATCAGGGTAAGGAACGGCAGGAAAGACCCTGGTAGCCAACTAGCACTAGGTCTGGCTCAGCCCGTACTCCTTCCCAGGGGGATCCGACAGCTGAAAACGTATTTTTGGTAGGGAAACATACTTCTGTCAATGGTTTCAACATACTTTGATACCTTTAAATTGTCCAGTTGTACTTTGTAAGAAAACAAACCCAAACGTTTGGTGAAAATGAAATGGAAGCATGAAAACCTGCGTCACTCAAAATACAGCAAATGGAAAGGACAGTTCACATTCAAAGAGAAGAGCCACAGCACTATGTTGTGACAGTGCATTTAGTGAGAGTTGTTCTGCAGAGTGAAAGAACATTCCGTGATGGTTTTTGACAGTTTTTCCTCAAATTGTCTATGTTCTTCTCAATAGTCTAGATTCAAACTGCGCTCCTGACCTCTTGATCCCAGATTATTCCCCTACAGGATATGACTGTTTCTGATTCTTCTCCACAAGCTTCCTAACAGCTTCCCACAGAAATCCTCTTCCCCTGCAGGCTCTGGGCACAGCAGTGGCAAAGCTGTGCGGTGAGTTGGTCACTAGGACATACTTGTGCAGTGATCAGCAACTCCTCAGAGCTTCCTCCCCAGCCCAAACTCCAACCACCAGCTCGGTAAAACCAGGGCACATTTCACAGCTCTGATCCTGGACCAGTAACAACTGGGTCTTATCTCTCTTATCAGGATAATGTCACATACACGTGGAAAAAAAACATCAAAACCTCTGAGTAACTAAAATTTCACTTTGTTTGGTGAAGTTTATTTAGTTGTTATTCAAACATGACAACATAATTTGAACTAAGAACTTGATGCTTACCTTCATCACAGAAAACTCCTCTCTTTAATTGAGGCAGAGATTTACAGTATTTCCCAACATCCAAAATGAGACTAAAACCCCCAGGTAAAGCATGGAAAGCATTTACTGAGCATACAGTCAGCCCTTGATTACCCACAGGCAGTCTGCTTAGGTTGTGATTTACCACAAAGGTAGAGCCAGGGGCTGGCTCTGTCGGCAGACACCGTCGGCCGAGCAGGGAGTTCCAGCTCCAGTGCGGACGCAGCGAGGCTCAGCCTCAGCACAGCAAAGCCAACCTCGCACTCCGGTCCACAAGCCTCGTGCCCAGGACTAGCTACACCTGGCCAGACCTTGTGGGATGTACAGCATCACGCACAGCCCAGGTCCGACAGTGACAAGAGTGCTGCAACACGCTGCAGTGAGAAACCACAACAGCTCCGTGGAGCCACGAGCAGGGCAGCAGGGTCAGCTAGGAATTCTGCATGCGGCTACCTGGGTATCAGCACTGCACTGCTCATTTCCAGTACTCTGTCTAGCAACTCATCACCCTACAGTGCAGGAGCTGATCATTTGTTTGAAGGAAAAGGGAAGATTTAAATACTGCTGTTCAGAATGACTGTGTTAAAAATTATCAGATTCCTACATTAGATTTTGCCCTTTTTTTTTTACTGTTCTTGAGAAACAACACTGCAAATAATTGAGGGGGAAAACCAACACTGCTGACACAATAAACCAAAATGTACAATAAATTAAGCGGTTGGAGTTGCTGTAGCAAAAATTACTTGAGCTGACAAGTGACAGCTGACTGCATTCCCCTAACTCCTGCATTTGTGAATTTAGTTAGCTTCAGTCATTTTACAAATGCTCACCCCATTGTATTCAGTTAACCTTCACACTACACGTTTTACTTTAGAGTTGCAATACACAGTGTATAAACCCACTTGCTGTATTGCAATTGATGAACAGTAAGTTATTGAACTTTATTATCTGGACTACCTGTGACTGCTGATACATATCCCATACCTGGCCTTCTCCCCACAGCCAGTAACATTAGGACATGTGTCATGGGAGAGAGAACTGAGATGAGATGAAGTTATCTAAAGATGGTAGAGGGGAAAACGATGCATCCATTTGCAAGCCTTATTTGGAAAACAGGTTTTGGGGAAGGGAAGAAGTCTAGCCTAAACTGCACTGCTAAATAATCTTCAAGTTGAACAAGAAAGCCACATTTACATTATTCTACAAGCTAAAAAACTAAAATTCAGCTATGTCGAGTTTATTCAGTTGTGGTGACTTAGGAACTTGAGCAATATACACAGAGACAAGCATAATCAGAAATCAATCCCATTTAAACTGATTTAATGTGAACTGGAAAATGATTTCTTTAATTGTGAAAAAAATGAAGCTAAAATAATGCAATAAACTCTCTAGTTGCAAATAACAGTACAAAAAAGTAAGGTGTCAGTATTTAATGCTTCATCCTTAATTAGGCACTGTCAAATCATCTGAAAGCCAATGTTTAGGCTTTCTAACCTGAAATCTGTACGTTACACTTTGCAGCAGAGTAATTTAATTATTAGCGTAGTAAGAGTTTTCCTGCTCCAGTTCTGAAACATTTCTTGTGAGTCTGCAATTCACACTCACAAGTCTGAACTAAGCATGAGAGCAGAAAGCTACTGAAATCTCCCTGCTGAACTTCCAATCCTGTCATGCCACTCAAAAGAATTATATTGTAAAAAAAAAAAAACAAAAAACAACTTCACAAGCAATATCTTGGCTGAGTAACTGAGGAGTGAAAGAGAAGAACGCTTTTTTGCAAGACATTCAAAGGGGTATTTTTGGGTGGAAAAAAATAAATGAAAGCTTTTGATATTGCCCCTTTAAATCTGTCTCAAACATTTAGTTAACAAACACAGGAAGTCTTCAGCATCAAGCTAGGAGAAAATTTCAGACTTTAAAGTGAAAAATCTGGTGTCAAGGACTTAACTGCTCTCTCAGCCATGCTCCCACGACCAAGTGACCCCAAGGAAGCAGTATCCTTGCAGATTTTGGCCTAACAATAACAACTGAAAAAATTCCCATTACATCTATTTGTCATTTTATCTGCATCAGATTTTGAGAAAGACCGAGATCTTAACTGGTCACTTTTGACCTCAAAATACCAAGAGTAGTGCTCTCACCCCACAGACTGCTATCACTGACTATACTGTCAACATTCAGGCAAAAGTGTTTGTAGAAAAAAATGGAAACATAAAAAAAAATTAAATCCCTAATGGCAAAAAAAGCAATTTTTATTAATAACTGAAATAGTTATTTAAATAAATAAAAGGCAAGGGAATAGCAACAGGGATACAGCTGGGATGTTTATTTTACATCGAGAGATGTAGAGTTTCTGTACAGCAGAGCACAAACAGAGCATGTTCTGAGACAGGTGCTAGAGGAATAAAGTCAACTAAGCTAGAAGACAGGACAATGAACCCATGAAACATCCAAAGCTTGGAAAGATGTTTTATCCAACCCGATGAAGATGTCTTTGGAGAAGTGAAGCAAAGAAAATTATCTGCATGAAAAGAAAAAGTGAGATAAGATAGGAAATAAAAAAGGTGCAGTAAAGACTTCCAAAAAAGCAGCAGGAGCACAGCAGAGCCCAGCATGCCAAGATGACTACTGGAGAAACACCACATCATGCTGAGACTGGAATGCTACAGTAATGTCCTCATGTACGAGTACAGTGCATTTTAAAGTCTGGTTATTATTTAGGAATATCCCAAACTGAAGAAACACTGCAATCTCTGTACACAGAGAAGGTAAAAGAGAAATCTATTTGCTTGATAAGCCACTGAGCAAAAGGATATATTGGGGGTGTGGAGGGGAACGTAAAAAAAAAAATAAAAATTAATATCAAAGCATTAGACTCCTCCTAAAAAGTTGGGAGAGGGATGGAATTAATTATCATATATAGGGATGAAAAAAAAGCAAAGGAAAAGAAACATTTAAAATACGGGTGCATGCATGTTTCAAGCTCTGAGCAAAGCTTACGCCTTGCTGAAAGCACGCTAGCTTCCAAAAGGAAATGCTGGGATGAAACACGGCACCTCACAAGCACTTGAGAGCCACAGCCCTTCCTCTTTCCCATGTCATGGGTACAGGGTTCATGCAAGTGAAAGGTATGAGCATGGGAAGGTGGATTTAGCATAGCTGACCTCTGTTCAGAGTTTTAGGTTGACGGCAGAATAATCAGTTTGTATCAAACACTGCACGGACTAGTCACACCTTACAACTGATCACTCTCCTGCTTATTACCACATTTTTGGTGTATGCAAATTAAATTACTATTACTCCCCACAAAATGTGCAGAAGGAACCTGCAATTCAGTTGCCCTTTTACGGGTTTAAATGGCAAAGTATTTTAAGTCAATTTCCACACCTGTAAATTAGTGATAACAGCTGAAATTTTCAGAGCAGTTAAGGAGACTTAGATAAACACTTTCCACTGTCATTAACAGAGAAAACATCTCAATTTCTTTGAAACTTTCATAGGAACTTTGCCAGAGGCAAACTGTGACAGTTGAAGAATACATTCTGAATGCAGCACGTACTGAGACAATTTTCTTTGGTAAACTGAACATGATGGGCCTGGTAGCCAATGCCTGAACAGAGGTGAACTGAAAGGATCAATGCAGAGCTACAAAGAAAGGGCAGCCACCAGGCACAAGGACTGCAGATACAGAACGGAAGAGTAAACACCAGCTTATTAGGCAGCTTACAAAATCACCATGAGTATTTACCCGGCTAGGCACAACACTCACCCACACTCTGCCACGGTAAAGATATTGTTCATGGTATTTTGTACACCTAGTCTCGCTAAAGGAATGCGTCTCCCGCTACAAAGGGAGTATAATTTCACAAGGCCGGAACCGCGCAATCAATGAGGGCAGGGAAGCAGGTGCAGGCGCAAGCTGGGAAGACATTTACATGGAAGTCATATCGTTGAGAGCGTGGTCCAGCTCCTCACTGATGGCTTTGTACTTCAGTTTCTGAGCATATAGCTCATCTAACATTGCCCCAAGGGAAGGCAGAGGTGTGCAAGGAAATGGAGTGTGACCACGGGATGGAAGGTGAAGGTGGTGGCATGGGATACCATCCAGAAACCGCAGGAAAGGGGAAGAGCGCACAGGAAGAGGTGTTGCGACAGACAAAAAAATTACAATGTTAGAGAAGAATAAAAAAAAAAAGAAAAAAAAAAAAAAAAAGATCAACAGTGAATAGTTTTATACGACAAGTTCATTAACTGCACTGCCAGTTGGGCAACCTGCAATACAGAGAAAATGAAGGAGAGAAAGTGTACAAGGGAAGCAAAATCCATGTTTTGCTGCCCAGGATTTTTGTTTTAATGCACATTAGGAGAGCACACAGAAGCTAGGAAGAAAAGATCCAAAAATAGGGCTCAAGGAAGACGGTACCATTTATTTTCTACCACCTTTTTTTTTTTTTTTCTTAAAACCACTCTGATTTGTGTGATGTCAAACTCAGTTTCTTGCAGTGATTTTTGCTCCTCCTAAATATTTATCTTTCTTCCCTGTTTCCTTCCTGAGTCAGTGATCATAAATTTTCATCATCTACCTAGATATTTCACACCCTTCATGTGTAAGTCATCCTGCCATGCCAAGCAATCAAGCTTCTTACAATTCTAGACTTAGCGTAACTCATCTAAATAGCAAACTCCATATAACTTCTAATTACAGAGCAGTACTGAATTATTTTCTCCAGAGGAAGAAAGCACACACTACTTTTCTACTGCAGTCCTGAAAGATTTATCAAAACCTGAAAACAAGCTGTCTGAAGTTAAACAGCTGTCCTTCTGACTATGTATGCAATCCATTAGCTTTACTGAAAAACAGCAACTGCTCTATGTCACAAAATGCCTGCCCTGACCCACACTTAGAGCAGTAATAAATTAGCTTTAGCTTGCTACATTCCTAATTATCACAAACATAACACAGCTCTTCATCTTTTTAGTAAGATGATAACAATACTTTTAATCTAGTGATTTACCCTATACATTTACATACCTCCGAGTAGAAAAGTATAAAGCAAAAAAATGGAAGGAGTCTTGAGAACATGAGAGAAAAAAGAACAGGCAAGAGCAAAATACTGTTCTCCTGAAGTATTTAAGTTGTCAATACATTTAAACTGGAAAACATTTTGCCTATTTTACTCTTTAGGTAGACCCATTTATACAAGCAGGACAAGTTAGGTGAGTAGAATTGGGTACTGAAAAAAAAAACACAACAGGAGAAGAGAAGATCTGTATTTCTATAGTGAGAAAAACAAAACCCCATACCTTCTAGGTCATCAATGCTCTTCTCCAGCTTGGTTACTGACCTCTCAGCAAATTCAGCACGGGTTTCAGCCTGAAGTTGAGACAAATACAGACTACTTCAGGAAATGCACACACAGTACTTGCAAGCAGAGGAGCAACAATTCAAAGGAGGAAAAAAGTACAACGACAGGGGGTAAATAATAAAGCAATAGTAATTTTTAGGAGACTTAACACTAAACTGTCTCCAACATGACATGCTTGTCCTTAAAGCATCAAAGTAGCATTTACATTAACAGAATCAAAGTCACATCGGGAGATCTGTTCTAAAGAACCACTCTAATTTTACCTCCTTCAGCTTGTCAGTCAGGACTTTAATCTCCTCTTCATATTTGTCTTCCTTCTGTGAGTACTGTAATTAGAAAGAGGATCGCTGATATTAGACCAGGTATTCTAAAAATACCAAAATACACCGCATTAGAGACTCTCTTCTGATAGATCAACTGTATACACGAAATTAATATGGGTATAATTTAATTCCACTTACCAGACTGTGGTAACACACATTTTATTACAAGAGCTAAGCTGCCCTTGAGTTATATTACAGTGCTATACAGTAGGAACTTTGAGTAGAAATTAGTACTACAGTTTTAAAGAGGAGCAGCATTTGGAAAAATTTAGTGTTAGCACACAAGTGCCATTTTGAGGGATGTTATATAAATAATATTTAATCCTGTCAGACTACTTAACAGAACATGTGGTCAAATAACACTGACCTATTTGGAACTAGATGGAATGCTAGGTATTGGTTATGAGCCAAATACGAATTGAGTATTAAGTCCAAATGCTTCTACAGACAATGGCCCTGCTGAAATGATGCAAAGTGATCAGCGTATAAAGAAAACCCCACAGGCCAATCCAGATGACAATGTAAGGGACACATTCTCACATATGTCTCTAGCCTACCTTCTCAGCCTGAGCCTCCAGCGACTTCAGGTTGTTGGTCACAGTTTTCAACTCCTCTTCAAGCTCAGCACATTTGCTGTTATTTTGGAAGGAAGGCAGGAAAGGGGCGGATGGAAGATTCAGTCAAGCAAAAGAAACAGGAGAAAATAGGGGGAAAAGATAGAGAAAAGTGAAAACAATTACAGAGCAAAAGAATGGCCTCAAAAGCAGCTGAATCCATCACAGATTGAAAGCAACTCTTTACGATGCCAAACTCCATCTAAAGTGTACATTAAGACAACGACCAGACAGAAATTATCTACAGCCCTTGGCTTACACAGAAATATTTACACAGCCTTTACACGTGAGACAGTTCAGCTTCTTTTTGGCTGCACAAGAGATCAGTTTTAAAGGTAAAAATGAATAAATAAACACAAAAGAGACCAAAGAAAACCACCAAAGCAAGATGCAAGGAGAGTAAAGAGCGCAGTGAGGACTTTTTTGCTACTACTGAGTGAGCTAACTGGCTATGGAAGCTGAAAGACTTGGGTTGCAGTTAAACCTAAAAACTGTTTATTAGTATCAGTACCTTATCCTCTGCAGCCATTAATGCTTTCAAGGTTTGATCCATTATTCTTAACTGTTCTTCCAGCTGTCGGACTTGGCTGTTAGTGAACACATGAAATGCACAAAAGCCATTCACAAAATCAGTGTGCAGGTACAGCATGCAGTGACAAAACACACGCGCACACACATATGAACACATTTATTTTGGCATTGACCATTTATTTCAACCATTAGAGTAAATGAGCAAAACATAGGTTTGAGCTGAACACACAGTGTACTGCCAATGTTTCATGCTGTTACAGTTGTCTTCTAGCACCTCACACACATCTCAGGGCAGTTCAACACTTACCTTTCTGATAGTTCAGCACGTTCCTCAGCCCGCTCGAGGTCACTCTCAATGATCACAAGCTTACGAGCCACCTGCAAGAAAAGGCAGATGACAGTCAGAGATATTATGTTGCTGCAGCACACATCACCTGTTTCTAAAGCCTACAAAACAGTGAGTTGGACCTCTCCATCTTTTGGTCAACACGTGAGTTTTGATTATGCAACATCTTCATTATTAATGTCTTCGTTATCCAACATTTATTCAAGACCTCTCTTTCATTCACCAGAAAGCAACTTAAAAATATTGTTCTCCCTAAGAGACCAGGGAATACTCTCAACCATTTCAGTGAAAAGATCTGAGCACAGATCTCCTGTCACCTTGTCCCCTGATGTATCTGGGTTCCCATTTTCCCTTCCACAGCTGTGAAGTAGTGTGTCTGATCTTTTCAACTGAAAAGGTAAAATGGGGGTGGGGAGCAGAGAAGAATTACAGGCACAGCCTAAAGAACTTTCGAAACAGATGACCTGCACTCAGAAACTGACCTCTTCATACTTGCGGTCAGCCTCTTCAGCAATGTGCTTAGCCTCTTTAAGCTGGATCTCTTGGATTTCCATCTTCTCTTCATCCTTCTGGGCTCTATTTTCAATGACCTTCATTCCTCTGAAAGACATGAAAAACAGGAAATGCAAGGTTCAGGGCTTGCCAGTTTATCTCCAGCCCTACTACTACTGGAGTGCAACTTTCAGACAGGTATATTAAGATGAACGAAGCACATCAGATACTTGATTCTTCACACCACAGATCTAGCCCTGTGCATTCACACTTCAGAAGTTCAAAGGAAAGAAGCATGTCTTAGGAATAAAGAAAAATTAATTTGTTTAGCTCTTACCACAGTTCAGCTGTACTAATCTTTCTCATTTTAAATTGAAGGAAAACTGATCGTATAGCAAAGTAAATAAAGGGTCTTGCATTTAAAGACCTATTAAGATGACTAAAGACATCTGTGCTTTTACACTCATAGCAAAAGAGCGTGTTACAACCCCTGCAGGACTGACAGACATTATATTTATGGGCCAAACAGACTCCCATGGGTTTTGCCATGTCAGAGCCCTAGAGCACTGAAGCTCTCTGTGCTCTGTACAAGCAAAATTTAACTCCTTCATAACAGGAAACATTGTGTATTGCCCCTTCCATGACTGTTTGACTCATTTGCTTAACTATTTTACCATGCACTACGCGTCTCACACGTTTTCAACAGGCTGCATCGTTAGTGAGGTAGAAATACAGAGGCAGAATACATAGGATTCTTTCCCAATAAAAGGTACTACCACAGGTATAAAATAAAATTTGTAGAAGTAAAAGAGAAGATCTTCCAAAGCCACAAATCTTGAATTCCTAACTTACATTAAGTACTTCTGGAAATCCCAGCCTAAATCTGAAGGAATTATTGTGTTATCTCTCCTTTGCTCACCTTCTCAACAACAGGAGAACCAAAGCCTCTCCCAGCACTTTGCTATTCTCCAGGTGAGATTCTTCTACCCACCATGAAATCAAGAATCACCCGACAGCACAAGAGTATACATCACCTTCAAAAAGTTGTCATCCAAATAGAGAAGTCTGGGCAGGGCCAAGCAGTTTTCCCAGGACATGGCATGATACATCAAAAGCCTTACCCCACTTAAATCTTATCTTTACAATTGAGACACAAAAAAAAAATCAATTCAAGCCTACACATTTTGGACATCCCTACAGACAAGCTGTAACTGAAGTGCATGTAGGCAAAGGAAGAGGGGATTACACATATTCCCTAACACACACCCTGGCAATTATCATCTTTGTCATAAGGGTAACCATCCATTCAGGAGTGGCCCCACCCACCTTTCACTCTCATCTGCAGCCTTCTCAGCCTCTTCCAGCTTCTGCAGGGCAGTAGCCAAACGCTCCTGAGCCCGATCCAACTCTTCCTCAACCAGCTGGATGCGTCTGTTCAGAGAAGCTACTTCGCTCTCAGCCTAAGCACAGGAAGGACAGAAATTAATCCATAGTAAGGCATACATCACCTCTTGTAAAAGATTATCCCATGTACCTGCTAGGGCCATTTAACAGCACTTCAGTAATTTCTGTCTTCATCCACTAAAAAGTCCATACTCAGACATGTACATGTCCTCACTGAATTGTGAAGTTAGTGCTTAACGGAGGAAAAAGTGATTGATGCTTCCTTTAAAGCAAGCACATTAAGGACTGTACAGTCTGTACTAGAAATAACTGCACTGAAATAATTATGGATTGTTCCCCAAATATTTTCTGTTACTGTATCTGCAGATATTAACTAATTATAGTCCCCCCTCCCATTTTTTTTTAATCAAATCAACATAAACTAATTACCCCATTCTTCTATGTTATCCCATATCCTTTATTTATGACCTTTAGCCATATTTCAGTAAGAATTGTCCCAGTATTTCCTTGAGTCCCATAAGAAGAGTTCAGTGTAAACATGTAAAAATACACCTAGATCGGTATTTGCAATGAGACAGCTGATGCAGAGAGAGCATGAGAACATTTAAGAAATGCCCGAATACCCACAGGTTTTGTTTACAGGCAAGCTATGCAAGAGCTGACAAAGAAGGTACCAGCAGAGGCTGCATGTCAGTAGGGCCCTGGTACAGGCAACAATCACTTAAAACATCTATTTTTTTCCCCCATACTGCCATCCTCAAACTTCCCCTAGGATTTGTCTCTCTTAGGTTACCTGTTCACTTACTCTTCCATATAACACTTGCAACTCATGTGCCTCTTATCGTTACAGGCTTTTACTTCTGACATTCTCAATCCTACACTTGCTTAAGTTACAGAGTAAGTTCTGTAACAGACTTCTTGTAGTAAACTCATTATTAAACTTCATTTCTTTCAAAACGATATTAAGCATAAAATATATATCAAACGGTCATTATTCTAAAAAGTTAATTACTTTCAAGAATAACGGTTACTCTTAATTAGTAATGAAACCAATCTTGCTATATATGAGGAAGTACACACCTGAATTTCCTATGATGTCTAGCTGGGAGGGGGGAACCAACCCTCTATCAAAAGTAGATACCAAAAGTATCAATTTGATACTTTTCCTTTAATTCAAACTTTAATAAACTGTTATTTGTGGCTTTTAATAACCAGAGGCAGATGGATACACTTGGCCACAGCTAAAATTTTGTTGTAAATAACACAAGTAAGAATAACTTACACACCAGACAAGTAAAATAATCTTTGACATAACAGCAACATTGCCCCACTAGAATGACTGGAAGTAATGTATCAACAGGAAAGGAAATACGTATTTGAACGTTAATGAGTACTGGCAGTGAACATGTGGAAGGAGTAGAAGAGACTTCAGCCTTAGAGATTCACATTAACCCAAGTATAAAATCTTTAGCTATGTAATCAAGCCGTAGTACCCCAAATCTGTATTTTCAAACTTCTGGCTTTGAACAGTACGAATCTGAACATTCGGATTTGAGAAAGAAAACAACCTTTCATAAATGTTACCCTTGGGAAATTTGTAATGTTACAAGTTAATTATTATCATGTCAAGACTCCTCATCATGACAAGAGCATACAATATGCTTAGAAAACAAAGGGTGACTAAAGTTCAAGTTTTTACTTCCTGCTCCAGTAACTCACTAAGGGTTTACCAATCAGCCTTATATGGCCCAAGTTATTCTGCGGAGCAGGACTTCTCTCCTTATATGGTAAGGAAGGAAAAAACCCCAGTGACATTAAGGGGCACTCCCACAGCTAACAGGCAAACATAGCCTTCTGCATTTTTGCCATAGCACTTATACACCACATATTTTTACAATGAGCAATGACATGGATAAGTTACCATCGGGTGTTAATTACTACTGTTGTAAGAGAGATTCTGTTTTCCAGAAAAAGGAAGAAAAATACATTCTGAAAAAATGATTATCAACAGCCCCTTGAGATGCATGCACTCAAAACAGGAGAGATTCTTTTTAAGACAATGGCTGCTAGTCATAGTCTTGAAACTTTTAACAATCTGGTGTAACAATCAAAAGCTGTAAGCTGTGATGTGTTTTGGACACAGCTTTAGCTTTTCAATTGTCTGCCTATCTGTACCTTGCACAGGAAGAAAAAAAAAAAAAAAAAAAAAACAACAAAACAAAACAACCCTAGCTGGTCACATGCTATACACGTACAGCAATACACTAAGGGAAGGGTCAGATTCACACCTCTGCTTGCTTGCTGCAGCGTTCTCAAAGCCTGCCTGCCTTCTCAAGCATGCAGAAATACAGCTGCAACAATGAAAGAAAAAAGTACATACGCAGCTAGCATTATAGAAGAGGCACAGGTCTACCATGTGCCTGTGAATTCAGTTTTCTGCCTTTATTCACCCCAGCACTGACCCCTCCAAACAAAAGCTTAAATACCATGTAAACATAGAATTCTGCAGAGTACATCATCTGCATAAACCAGCTCTAGGGAACAGATGAACATTAACCTTTAGGATCCTGAGCCTTACAGCAATGTGGCTGATCTCTAATGGGAAGACTTCACCAGTAACCTGTCATCACTCCTCCAGCATTATTTGTTTTGCCAGAACAGGTAACAGCAAAGGTTCCCATTTTAATGAGAATCCTTTAGTATGTTGTTTAGAATAATACATGTTACTGAAAGTAGGAAAATTAGTGTCCTTTACAAAGCTTAGAAAACACGTACAGCTTTTTCTAAAGACAGAAACCCTTATAAAACAAGTTAATGACTGTGACATGACCCTTCACTGAAAAAAATGGGTATGTAAAGTGGTTTGTAAGAATGCAGTAGTTACACAAGAGTACGATGCCATATTTTGCTCCTTGGGAAGACCACCTACAAGTACTCAGAAGGCTCTTCCTTTGAACTTGCTTTCCAGAATGTTCAGAAAGCCCCATATTATAAGAAAATCCAATAATGACCACTTTTTCTATTATGATAAGCTACACGAATAAGAAATTTGTTCTTTTGCATCACCTTTACGCAACCACTGAAGACACTAAAACCACCATAAAGCATACTGTTCATTTCATAGCAGGAAACATTAAGTTCCAGCTGCTACTATTCCCCAAGGTCAGTGGCAAGGCAAACAACAGTCCTATCAGTTTTTTGCTGTAACTGTCACCCATAACTACATCGCTTTGCTACATGAGTCTGCACTGCTCACACCTGACCTTCTCTCTGCCTAAAACCATGCCGACTGTTCCTTTCCCATCTTAGCTAGGGGCCGATGAGCTAAACATACTACAGATATGATCACATTGTTGTGGAGTTTTCAGGTACTGTAGGTAGGTACTTGGATGCGGCCATCTCAGGTTCAGTGCCAAGTACACAACCTCTTAACACTCAGCATGCTGCCTTACCGCAGCTGAAAACTCATTTGGATTGGGATAAGCAGAGAACTGGCACTTGCAAAAAAATAATAAAAAAAAAAATAAATCACAAAAGCTTGCTCAGAACCTAACACAAAGCAGTCGACCTCACGCATCTCGCCTCAGTTCGACCTCGTTCCAGCTCAGCGCTTTGGGGCAGGCCAGCAGACCCTGTGCGCTTCCCCGAGGCACCCCCGGGGTTACTGACCCGGCGAGCGCAGCGCTGCGGGCCCTGACTCGCTCCTCACCCGCGGCCCCGGGCCTGCCCCGCCCGCAGCGGCCGGCAGGGACCGTTCTGTCGGAGCCGCCAGCTGGGGAGCGGCGAGGGTCGGCCAGCGCTGCCCCGGGACCCGCTCCCACCGGGCCACGGCCCCCGAGCCAAGCCGGGCCGGGCAGGCAGCCCTACCTCCTCCCGCAGGGCTCGCTCCTGGTCCACCTCCCGCTGCAGCCGGCCCGCCCGCTCCTCGGCGGCGTCCGCCTGCTCCTGCAGGCTCCGGATCTTCCTCCGCACGGCCTCCAGCGAGCTCATCGCCGCCATACCCGCGCCTCGCCCGGCCTGCGCCGCCTCCCTCCCGCCCGCCCGCCCCAGCCCCGGAAGTCCCCCCGCGCCGCGCCGCAACGCAACGCACCGGGGCGGGGCTGTCGGCACCGGGCGGCGAGCAGCGCGGCTCCCCGCCGGGGCGGGCAGGGGGGCAGGCGGCGGGGAGAGGCCGGGCCCGGCCGGGAGGTGGGGGGGGCCGGGGCCGGGGCGGGCCGCGGGGGCCGGGGCGCGGCGGCCCGCGCCAGGTGGGCGCGCTGGGGGCGGCAGCGCCCCCTGGCGGCGCGCGGAGCCGGGACCCGGGAGGAGCCGCCGCCTTCCCCCGCTAAACCGCCCCTGCACGAAGGCGCTGAGGTGACACGGAGCGACCCGACCCGCCCCGCCCGGCCTCGCTCCAGAGGCAGCGGGAGCGGAGCGGGAGCTGCGGCGGCCCCCTCCCAGGTGAGGCGGCTGCGGGGCTCGGGGGATGTGCCCGGCTTCTGCGAGGTGAGTAATACCGGCGAGGTAAGGTTTCCTCACCCCCCTGAGTAAGGCGAGTCCAGCCCAGGGAGCCGGCACTCCCTCCCCTGCCCGTGTCTTTTTCCTAAGGCTTGCAACTATCCAAACTAGTAGGGCAAATACTGGGTCAGCTGCAATGCCCCAAAGATACTCCACATCACCAGAAAACAAAGACATCCTCAAAATGTTAGACATATTCCATGCATACCATTAAATACAGCATTTACCTTGATGAAAACAAGCCAGACGCTTGCCTACCCTCCGCCTGAGGGATGACTGCATAGAAAATTGCCCTCAACTCATTTCCAAACACTGTTTTCCAGTAAAGGAAAACGGCATTGGCGTTGGTTAGGAAGATCTTTCATTTCAAAAAGGGAATCTAGTCGCACTTCTCCTGCCTTCATTCTAGGCAAGCTATTTCCAAATAGTCTGCATACTTTTCCTTATAAGGAATATCTCCCCTGGATCTATATGCGGTTCCTTTGAACAAGTTAAATAAACGTCCTCCTAGGAAGCTGCCTCTCATGTATGCAGCCATACACAGAAGACAGACATCTGATCCACATTATACACAGAATCCCTCTCCGGTTCCTATGCACGCTTACATTTGTTAAGTTCTTGAGTTCTCTTTCAAAGCCATACAACTTAATCGCCACACTGAAGTTAAACCTTCTTTATCCTTTGTTCATTTTAGAAGAAAAATAATATGAAAGCATGTTGACTTTCATGCAATGATGGTTTTTTTAACATTTGCCCTTCTAAAAGTATTTCTCCCCCTGAAATACTTTGCTTGTTTCATCTGTGGCAACTCCTCTTTTTATTATGGCTCCGAGGTTAATTTTTAAAGCTGACTTATAGGAAAAGGATGGTCATCGCTTTGGAAATACTGTGGTTTCACCTAATCCGGTAATTCAGACCTGAGATTTACTCAGAGAGGATTGTATTGTACAGCAGCAGCCATAGAGATCTGGATCTTAACTGCAGAGACAAGAAACTTGCATGGTTCCACGCATGCAATCCATTAAATGCATGTCAGGGGCAGACAGGTGGGTGGGATGAGGGCCTGGGAGAGGCACAAGCTCTTGCATTATTACCATATAAAGTGCTGAGCTATATATATCTCCCAGCTTGCTCCCAGGAGCCCTGTCCTCTGAACTGCAAACCCAGCAAGTATCATCTGCTGGACAACTTTCTCTCAGAGAAGACTGAACTTTTCTTTGACAAGTGAAACAGTTCCAGTGATTTTCAGGAAAAAAAAACCCACAAAAAAAAAAAAAAAAAAAAAACAAACAAAAAAAAAACCCACAAACCACCTAGGAGAGGATCTTTTATCTCAGGTACCAGTGAGTAAGCAAACCAGTATCTAGCAGCAGTTCTAACACACGCGTGCCTAGGAACAGGTCTCCTGAAGACAGAACTAGCAGCCCTTGCTGTTTTGAATATCTCTCTCCTGGATCAACTTGCCATTAACTCTCTGATTCTGCTTCACTATCAAGATAAGCATTGTTCCAGCCTGAGCCGTTTTCCCCACCACCTGAACGGAAAATCCACCCTTTCTTTACTTTCACAACTAGAGCGGCAAGTACACATGAAAAGCACGTGTCAAGTGAGCAGAAACCCAATCAAATGCCTCCGATAGTGTGCAGACCTCATGCAAGGAGGCAGTGCTGTGTTTCCCACCTCTCTGCCCAGGAGGTGCCTGGACCCTGCCCTTAGCAAAGCTCTGGAGCGCTGCTTGGTAGGAGTCCTGGGTGTCCTGTGCAGAGGGCACGTGTGGTTTCTGTATTGGGGTGGTGGTGAAAGGGATGGGGGTAACTTACATCTGTGGCCTTTTTGTCAGCCAGTTCCAACTTTTCCTGTGCATCTTTAAGGGACTCGGAGTATTTGTCCAGCTCATCCTCAGTGCCCTTCAGCTTCTTTTGTAGAGCCACCAGCTCGTCCTCCAGCTGTGATACGGGTGGAAAGTGGTGGAGAGGGGAGGGCGGGCAGGAAAAGGTGCAGCAGGCAACGTGATCGTGCAAAGGGAGAAGTGCGAGTGCAGAAGAGACAGAAAAGGACAGACGGACAGAGAGAGAGAGAAGGAGAGACAGTTAGATTCTCTTTGCTTGCGGCAAGGGCACGATACCTTGGCAGCGTTCTCCTCTGCGGAGAGGAGGCTATCCTCAGACTTGTGTAGCTCTTCCAGCACTTGGTCCCTTGCATCCTCCGTCACATGCAATTGCTTTTCCAATTGCACAATGTCATCCTCTAACTAGGTGCACAAGAGGAAATACAATGCACAAATATGTTTCTCCCTGGGCTTAGAAAAGTGGGAAATTAGTTTTGAAATCCCTCTCCCTTCTTCCCTCCTTCTTCAGGATCTCCCAGAAACGTGTAACAAATGTGCCCCTCTCCCCCAAACGAATAAAAGACCAGGTGTAAAGGAGGGAGGTTGGAGAAGGCCAGGAAAATGGGACACACATCCGCAAGGGGAGGGGGGGCAGCTGGAATCAGTCAAGTCTGCTGGGTGGTGCTGGAGGGGGCGAACATTTAAGTGTCCCTTGCCAGCCAGGTGCTCGAGGCAGCCTCTCCCAGGCGTGCCCCTGCCACAAAGACACAGGGACCATGCAGCTGTCCCAGGCCAGCTCCCCAGCCAGGGGCTGCCAGGGTGAAGCTCTGCCGTGGGAAAAGTTCAACCAGTTCTGGGGGTGGGGGAGTGGAATACAACAAAGTACCTTGGGGGAAAAAAACAACCAAACAAAAAATTTTAAAAAAAGGAAAGAGAGAGAGAGGAGTCGGCTGGAAAGCCTTGTGCCACGGTGCTGGCTGCGCCGGGCCCTCGGTGCAGACCTGCTTGCTTCTCTCCTCCGCTGCCTTCTTGTCCGCTTCGGCTTGCTCGGCTCTGTCCAAGGCGTTCTCCTTGTCCAGCTTCAGCATCTGCATCTTCTTCTTGATGGCATCCATGGCGGCGGTGGGCTAGGGCGCGTCCCCGCGCGAATTACACCCCGAAGCAAAACCTGAAAAGCTGCGGGGCAGCCCCGAGTCCGAGAGGCAGCCGCGGCCCCGGGGAGCGGCGCGGAGCTGCGGGGTGATCCGGGCGGGACGGGGCGCCGGCGGAGTGCAAGCGGCGGGCAGGGAGCAACTCACAGATATGTACTTTCCCAGGGGGCTGACTGCATTCCTCAAGACATCCAATACTTTTTTGGAATGAGCTTTTTTTTCAACTCCCTCCTCCGTTTGTCCCTACCCCTTTCCCTCTCTCACTCCCCCCCGGCTTTTTTCGGAGGCTCAGCGCTCCCATTCGCTGCTGCCTGCCATTTGACCGTAGATATGACTATATATGGGATGCGATGGGCGAGGTAAGGCGGGTGAGCAATTTGTTCCCATTTCCAAATAGGCAGGACGGGACGTTTCGCTGCTACTCCTGGGAGCGGAAAAAAAAAAAAAAAAAAAACAACAAAAAAAAAAAAGGCAAAAAAGAAAAAAAAAGGAAAAAAAAAAAAAAAAAAGGCAGCAAGCCGCTCGGAGCCCGGGGAGCGGAGGCGGCGGCCGCGCAGGCTGCTCGGGGCGGGCAGGGCGTCGGGGTAACATCAGTCCCGTGCTGGAGCCGTCGCCACGCGTGGAAATCAATCTGTTTTAAAGCAGGAGGGTGGCGGAGCTGGCCGCACTAGGCGGCAGCGGAACAAGCGGGGCGAGGCAGTAAGGGGTTAACTACACGCACATACGGAACGAATGCGTTTTAAGACCTTCCCCCCGGCAGCCGGGGTGTGGGGGGGGGAGCATCGCTCCTGAACAGCCAGGCTGCAGCAAGCGAGGGCGGCGGGCAGGACAGGGAGGGCTTCTGCGGGGGGGGAAGGGGCAGCGGGGCCACCCAGACCCCGGGGCAGGTGGCCGCGGGGGCACAGGAGGGCTCTCCACTCGTGCCGGGCCAGAGCAGGTACCGCGCCGGGACCCCGGGCGCTGCAGGGAGACGTGCCAGGGGCGCGAACGCTGAAGCGACAAGAAAAAGCAGAGTTACAGTGTCCCTCAGCTGGGACACTGGCGGGTCGTCTGCCCTCCTGGGGGTAGCCAGAGCTGCGGGGGATGAAGCCCAGGAGAAGCTGGGGCAGAGAAACTGGAGAAGCGGCTTGCACCCTCCCCCTGCAACGTCAGCGGGAGACGGGCAGGAGAGACAATTAACAAAATAACATATAATTAAGCGGAGACCTATTTTAGCTTCTGGCGGGTCTCTCACAGTCTCATCAGCACACGGAGCAAGACACGACATGCTCTGACCCCACAGCGCTCGCTGCCGAGTGCAGAAAGTACACGGACGTGCACGAGTCCCACAGGATTTGGGTTGCACAAAGAGAAAATTAAGCAGCCTCTTTGTCTGCGCTCAGTACTTGCAGCATAAAATTCCTCCCTGGTGCTGTCACTGGATCAGCTGAACTGATGTTACTTTGCAGCAGGAGGGTCTGTCCTACGGCTGCCGGCCCGCTGTACTTCTCAGGGCAATAAGGGCTGGATTTGCAAAGCAGGACTTCGAAGCCAGCTCCTGGAGAGCTTAAACAAGCTGCACCATAAAGCTTCAGCTCTACAAGACAGCAAAGCCCCCTGCATCAGGGTTCAGACCAACAGTTATTATCCCCAGCTTCTAAGAAGGCCATGCTCTGGGTTGAGCTATGAAGTGAGGGTCACAGCTAGGCACAGGGATTCACATACATTACTACTAGAGAGCACGGAAGACCATTGGCAAAGTAGAAGCTTTTCTTACACCTACTTAAGGAAAAGATGATTTCTCACTGCAGTCCTTCCTTACTGCATGGGTTTAATAACCAAACTCATGACAGTAAAATATTAGTAAGAATTTTGAAGTAAAATGTTTCTAGAAGGTGCAATTCTCTCTTTCCTATACAGACAATATTGTTCATTCATCCCTATCAGTTAAAAAAAAAGACTATTTAAACCCATCAAAATATAAACAGCATTGCACTGTTGCAGAATGTTTAAAACCCACAGACAACAGAATATTGAAAAAATCTGCAGATTTAGTCGCAGCCAACTCTAAAATGTAGTTTTCTCTTTGCACTTATCTTGCTTTACAAATATAGACAACAGATTAGGGCCTTTCTGAAGAAAGTATAGCGCATTTTTAAAAGACACCTTGTTACATATTGTTCAACAGCCTGACTGCATTATGAGATGTATCAGTATGTTTTGTTACTAGTTTAGGAGAACTTACTCCTCTGCCGCAAAAAAATTCCTTAAAAAGCGTGGAGTGTCATGGCTGGGAATTCTCTGAGGTAGTTCTTCTGGCTCTGGGGAAAGCAAATGTCTTGCGAAATTAAACAAACAGTATCCTGTCTGGCTAATTCGGGAGTGGTGCTGATAGGCTCTTAAAGAATTCCTGTGCAGCTCCATTTTTCTAAAAGAATGTTAGCCATGACATGGGAGCCTCTGGGATATGTGAGAAAGTATGAGATACAGGGAGAAGGAAAGGAACTCAAAGGTTTTTTTAAAAAATACCTGGAGGATGCTATCACCTCCACAGAAAACAAAATCTTGAGGTTTCACTTGCATGAAAATATCCAATTAATAAGCTTTGTTTATATCAAGATGACCCCATATCTATGGGACTGAACTGTCTGAGGGTGACTTTTTTTTTTTTCCCGTAGAGAAAATATGAAAAGTACAGACATGTATAAACATGCTAGCTATGCCTTTCATTAACAATTTCAATTGCTTGGAAATTTCTGTTCCAGCTGGCTAAGAAAGATAGGCTTGGAAATCAAATAGCTTGTACAGTCTCTCCCTCTTTAATTGATATGTGAAGAAAGACGGTATATGAATTGGTTTTGCATACTGAAAAAAGAAGGTAGCACAAACTTTGCTTTTCTGACATAGTACAAATTCTGTACTGTTATTTGTTCCCTTTTTTTTTGGTTTTTACCACAGTGGCTCTCTCATCTCTCTCACTGACAAATGGCGCAGGAACTCCCTAGCAGCAGTTCTACTTGCTTCTGGGGAATACCTACTGCATTCATTTTGAATTCTGATAATTGTTTTAATTGAGGAAATGCTGTTTTTGAAAATCACTAGTCCTCCTATGTATGATGTTGCACTTCAGGCTTACTGACAGTATGGTATCATTTCCCAGAGCAAGGCTAGAACCCATTTATATCCTGATGTTTCTCTCATGTCATATATTCCTTGACACAAGCAGAAATTTGCTTTGAGAAGGACCTGCTTTTTTGTGCATGGATTAGGCTGGTCAAAAGGAGTTCATGCTGTTAATTCTGGTAACAGACAAAAGAGTAGGTGGATATACTCTTGGAGTTGCTTTTCCTTTTTTTTTTTTTTTTTTTTTTTTTTTAAGGAATATGCAGGAAATGACACCTAACTTTATACTACAACTGGTTCTGCCAGTTCTATGAAAACATGCCTCTTAAAAGATGAGTAAAGATTCAAATTAGGTCAGTCAGAGTGAACTCATAGGCCTGTATGTGTCATTTGAGAAGTAGAGTGTTCCCTCACAGGGAGGCAAATATAAGTAAAATACCAACTAATTTCTCAAAGGTCTCCAAGACCTCTGCAGCCCTTGTAAAACTGGAAGGTTCATTTTAGATCAGCAACATGAGTGTGATACATCAAACAAAAATAGGAAATTGAAAACATCTGTATTCACCTGGAAAACAAATAAAACAATAGATACTGATGAAATTAGGCAGGTTTTACCACTACTGTTAGTGTATTTTATCCTGTAAGGATCTCCAAGAGCTTTACACTAAGGTAGCTGAGGGACAATATTTCTAATAGAAGCGTATAAATGGCAAAACTTCTCTTAAGGGAATTGGTCATATATGCTCCAGCCATAAGGCAAGAGAAGGCCCTAAAATAGAAGGTAGGAATCCTGACGGTTAGTTCTCTGCACAGCTCAGCAGGCAGCAAATGAGTACAGAAATACCCCTGAACATGCCAGTCACGCTTCATAAACACATGCTGTAACTCTGTAAAAGGTTTTCTGTTACATTTCTAAGGTAACAGTGAAAAGCATTTTAGCTTTTACAATTAAGAACTATAGGATGACTTGTTGGAAAACAAAGCTTTAAACTCTTCTAAAATTATTTTAATAGTTTTCCTCTTCAGAACTAAGATGTTTCTGTCCGGTTTGTCATTCAAGAAATCTGTGAACTCCTTAAGGGTAAAAGTATTTATAGTACAGTCTTCTGCACCTGCCCTGATCTGTAATCCAAGGGTCTACTCAGATACCACACCAAATGCTAAGAAGCTCATGACCTAAGTCATGACCTAAGATCTTAAAACAGCTCTGAGAAGGTCTTTAGGTTTCGGGTTGTTTTTTTTTTTTTTTTTTTTTTCCAAGACTCCTTTCACCCTAATTACACTACTGTTATTCACGTAATATCAGCTGAGCAAACATGTCTCCCAAGGCTTTGTATGGTACTTTCTTTTTAAATCATATTTGCTTTAGCTGGTAGTTATGAATTACTGATGTAATTCTCTGAAAAAATAAACAAAAAACAAGTAATGGAAAGACAAAAAAAAAGATCATTTTTGGTAAGATGTTTTCCCACATCCTTCTTTTTATAGCTTCAGAGAGTTTAGGCCAAAAAAGATAAATAGATCATTTAAAACTGTATTTATACATTGTTGGATTTATGTTCTACTGAGTGAAGTTTGTACTGAAGTCACTTACTTGAATTTGACTATAGTAATCTGGTGTTTAAAAAAAAAAAAATCTTACAAAAAAACACCCAGTCCACTTTGATTTAAAGCATGATATTGTGAAAGAGAACAGAAGAATGCTGAAGAGGACAAGTAACAGAAAAGGGCAAGTAGTATGTACTGTGGGAGAAATAAAAGACCATAAAATCCAGTGTACCCAAACACCAAACTGAAAAGAACTGTCAATCCAAAAATCCAAAAGGAAGTGACGCTTTCCTGGTGGAAGAGTCCAGTCACAACCTTACACTGGTGCAGAAATTGCATTGAATTCCATCAATCTTCTCTGCTTTACACTATGCCAAATGATATCAAACTGAGTTCTACGGTCTGAATGCAAGGTGAGAAACAAGTCGTAGAAAGACCCACTGCCCTGGGCAACAAGAAGGCCTATACCTTCAAAAGACATAGTTCCATCCTTGTTAAGCAATTAATTTGCCAGTGCTTTCAGCTATATATAGATAAACACACTATCGTTGTAACATTTACTGCCGTATCTACATGATTACAAGCTGTACTGAAGTACAG